AACTCATAGGGTCCCATCCCCCATCTTACCCCGTCCTCCCTCTTGTACGTTTCCGCGTACTCAATCTTACCTTTCCTTTTCTCTTCTACTACTTGCTGGCTTTTTCGTTCATTTCCCTAGTTTCTTCGCTTTCCACTGTTTGTTTCCTCCAATGGGGATCTTTGTATATGTTATAGGACTTGTCTCCGTCGTTTTCTTCCTTCGTTATGTTAAGAGAAAACGGGATAATCCAAATGGCCTTCCTTTACCTCCCGGCCCAACTCCTCTACCATTGATTGGTAACTTGCTTGATTTCCCTCAAGAACGTCCTTGGTTAACTTATGATGCCATGTCCCAGAAGTACGGTGAGTATCTACTTCTTGTGGTACTATTTTGATTTCGCACTGTCACATCGTTGGTAGGATGACTGACTGATACCTTCTGCTTTCGTTGACTTTCAGGAGAGATCTTCTATCTCAACGTACTTGGAACCCCTATCGTCGTTTTGAACTCTTTAAAGACAGTTCAGGACCTAATGGAGAAGCGATCCGCCACTTATTCTGACCGAATCAATATGCCTATGTTGGTCGATTTGTGAGTCTCCTAATTGTCCAATTTCGTCGTTTCTTTCCGTTGTTTTGGATTGTGTTGTGTACCTTGGTACATATGCGTATTTTTACTGTCTTCGTGATTTGCCAATGGCGTTCATTGTTTCTTCACTCTATACTATTGTCTGTTCTCATCTTTCAAAGAAACGTCATACCCGTATGGTCTTTTCTGCGTTCTGCTTTATCTGCTCTCTTGGTAACGATCTGTCCATGTTATCATCCGTGTCTCCTTCACATCACCATGATCGACACGTCGTTTAAATTGCTGTTGAAACTTCTTTTTTTCATTGTCTTTACATTGACATCGAAGCATGGGTGCTTCTGTTGATTTTGATTTTCCTGTTATGTCGATTTTGATTTCATAACGCATGATTGTCCTTCTTCTTCAGCTTCATCATATGCCTTTCCATCTTTCAAATTCAGCGTTTCTAACTCTCCAACCTTTCAACTTGTCCGCGTCGATGTCAATTCTCTGTCTCGCGGTTACAATGCTACATTGAAACCACGACTGTCCATTTCATTGTTCATCATGTAAATTTGAACTTCATCATACTAATTTCTCCTCGGAATTCCCTTAGGATGGGCTGTGGATTCGTCATTCCAATCATGAAATATGGAGAATTCTGGAGAAGACATCGAAAAGTCCTTCACACTTATTTCTCTCCAGCCGCTTCGGAAACATTCCTCCCGCGACAATTACATGATTCCAAGGTTTTGATTAAGCTAATCAAGGATGAACCTGAGAAGACTGTCGAACATATGAGATTGTGAGTGATATATTTTTCGTGGTTAAGCGGATAAACTGACCGCGATTGGTTGGGTTATTTCTCATCTTTGTGTTTTTAGCACTCTTAATTCAACGACGATGAATGTTTCTTATGGCCTTGATATGAAGAGTAGTCAAGATCCTATTCTGAAAGATCTTGACACTTTCCTTGAAGGGTTTAGAAGAGGCGCTATTTATGGTTCTTTCCTTGTTGATACTATTCCTTTGCGTGAGTACTACGCATCCCTCTCCCTCACCCTTATCCCCTCCGATTTCACAATGACATTCCGAGTCCTGACGCATATACTTCGGTTTCATAGTCAAGTATATCCCTACTTGGTTCCCTGGAGCTGCTTTCCAACGATATGCTGCGAAACTGAATGCATTGGCTCATCAGGTTAGAGATGACACATTTAATAATGTTAGGAAGGCTATGGTGAGCCTTTTCGTTTTGACTCCTACTTCTCTTCCCTCGAATTGTCCCATACAATTCCCGATGTAACATTTTACTGACTTCATTCATTGGTTTATCAGGAGGACGGATCTGCGAAGCAATGTATCGCCTCTGATTTAATTAACAATTTACCTCCTCCTTCGGATGACACCAGAGAATACGAGGAGGAAGTCGCGAAGAATGTTTCAATTGTTGCCTTAGGTGGTGAGTTGTAGTCCATCGCACTTTAGACCTTTGATACGAATGAAACTGACGAATGCTGTGATCTCCTTTCATTCGTTTTTAGCTGGCGGAGATACAGTAAGTTTCTTGCTTCCTTTTCCTTTCAATAACAAACCAAACTGATCCATCTACGAACCCACAGACAGGCTCCTACCTTCACTCATTCATCCTCGCAATGCTAACATTCCCAACTGTCCAAAAGAAAGCTCAAGAGGAATTAGAAAGGGTCGTTGGGCGAAACAGATTACCTGATTTCAATGACAAACCTTCTTTACCGTTTGTTGATGCTCTGGTCAAAGAGGTTATGAGGTGGCAACCTGTTACCCCTTTAGGTGAGTTTCTTTGAGCTTAAGTTTCTGATATCGGGGGTGTGGAGAAACTGACGTTTCTTTGACAGCTGCTCCTCATGCAACGACTGCCAGTGATGAATATATGGGGTATTATATTCCGAATGGAGCCTTGATTATTGGGAACGCTTGGTGAGTTTCTTGTTTCTTCATATTCCTCTCTACAACCGACAACCTCTGATCATTTATACTTTACAGGTCAATCCTTCACGACCCAGTGGAATATCCAAACCCTGAAGAATTCAAACCGGAAAGGTTCCTTACAAAGGATGGGAAGATCAATCCTGAAATTAGGGATCCTGAGGTTGCCGCGTTTGGATGGGGAAGGAGGTGAGTTTTCAGTGTTCCTACTGTTGTCTACATTTCGTCATCGCATTTCATCTTCATTCTCCCGAAATCTGCTCTCGTCGAGATGAATGAAAAAAACTGACTCGTTCATCGTTCTTTCTCTGTAGGATTTGTCCAGGAAAGACCATGGCATTGAATAATATGTTCAGCATTCTTGCACATATTCTTCACGTTTTCGATATCTTACCTCCTTTGGACGGGGATGGAAAACCGATCGTGGAAGAGTGTAAGATGACTACTGGATTGTTTTCGTGAGTTGTTTCTTTCCCTCCTTTCGGGTTTCTCTGCGAAGATAATGCCACTGACCAATACTTTCTTTTTGATGCCTTTTGATAGACATCCTGAACCTTTCTCATATCGAATTAAACCTCGAGCAGCTTGGGCTGAGAAGTTAATCGACGAGCCTTTGGTTTAGAGGATCACTCACTACCATTGCGCAGATATGATAATTACCTTCAGGTCTCTACTCATCGTCTCTATCCATCTCATATTAGATGTTGACTATGTATATAGTATAAACTCTCGATTCTGTATATAATACTCAGTACTCTCGTTCTTTGTCTTTTCTTCTTATCTTCGATAGTCTTTGTTGTAATGTTAGACCTATAATTATATCGATTTAGATATCGATTTCTGTTTTTCTTTCTCTTGTGTTTATGGACGGGATGTGTTGTATGGTAGGACGGGTAGGATGTATACAGATTTAGCAGTGAGGTTTAGCAGCTGGCCAGAATCTATGGTATATTATATTTCCCTTGAAGTCAGCGAGATGTTGAATCCTCAGATTCGAACTGAGAGCGACTCCATACGATAGATTCAACGAGTATTAATATTATTATAGAGCAAGTACTCATAGATGAATGTAAACACACTCTCATCGAGGAAAGTCGAAAAAGAACAATGGATGATCGATGATTGGTAGCATCTCGGACTAATCCGTTCGCAGGCTTCCATCCTGTCCTGCATCAATCATCATCTTCCTCCTTCGAGGCCCCTTCATCGTAGATTCAATTCCCAATCTAAATCTACCTCCTACTTCGTCTACAGAGAACTGGACAGATAAAATACTAAACTACCAGTATTCGACCGATATGGGCCCAAACGCTGCTGAAGGACCGAATACTCGTTCAATACAATAATCCGGTACAGAACAGAGGTTTTGGAACGGAAACTGAGCACTACAATACCACGACAAAAGGTCAAAGAACATCAACATGTTCTGGCCATTTGCCGTGTTACTGTAATGCTCAGCTCACGTTGAAAACTACTGCTCATTATAATCTCCCACAGTAACATATCTGGCCAATAAGAAAAGGAAATCAGACATAATACCTCGAGCTCTGACTTACCAAGAAAACTCGTAGAAGGGGAATCCAGTACTACAATACCACGACAAAAGGTCGGAGGTATCCGAGGAGACCTTGGCCATTTGCCTTGGTATTGTACTACCGGACGCACCTCGAGAGTTTCTTCTTTTGAGCAGAATAGAATAGAAGTTCCTCTTCTCCACGATGAACAAATAGAAAGCTCAAACAACGTGAGCGGAGCACTACAATACCACGACAAAAGGTCGGGGCGTGTATAGTTGATGCCCCGGCCGTTTGTCGGTGCACTGTAGAGCTCATCTCACATTGAGAGCTTTCCTCGTTGAGAGGAGGGACTACTATTAGTGAGGAGAAGTTGAGTGTTGGAATGAAAAATTTGGGATGTGGATGAGTCTGCTTTTATACACTTTCGCGAGTGGCGAGGAAGGACCATGCTTAGGCCGCGCAACACACAGATGACACAAAGGTCAATTCAGGTCAATGCCTCTCCGAGGGATCGGGCTGTGTAACGCGATCTAGTACAGGACAAAGAGATCCTTTGTTCAACATGAGAAGAGTTGACCTTTGATCACCCCGCCTCTAATTTTTGTTCTTTCATCGACAAAAACATGCGGAAGTTACGCCGTTCTCTGACATATTCAAGGTTCTTATTTTTTTTGTTTGCCACCCCTGGAATCTGTAGCACACTGGGATGGTTACATACTAGATATTGTTGAAGATTCTGAGACTCGGAGTGGAATCTAACACCAGAAGGACAGCGGCGGCGCGGCGGCTGTCAGGTCTTGCCAAAACTTTGAACACTACAGGTATGTACTTCTTTTAGCTTTGTCCTCTACCATACATACTGTATCGGACGGAAGGAAAGATAATTCTCAACTTCCTGCGGAATGTTTGTATATCGGGCAGACTGTCGCAGGGCATTTGGATTACCCTTCTAAACTATTAAACATCGCCGCGTTGGCGTAGTGGTAGCGCGTCGCACTTGTACCGTACTGGAACGTACGAAATTGAAATGCGAAGGTCACTCGTTCAACCCGGGTACGTGGCACTCCTTTTTCCATGTTGAAAGTCATGAAATTGAATGAAAAAAGGACTGGAAAAGACGAGAGGAAGCTTTAGGAACAGTCTGTTTTGTGGAAGATAAATAGGCGCTGAACAATCAATATCACATCCCGACTCCACACATGACCGACTACCTTTGGATATGTTTTGAAGGCGATGTTACTAGGGACTGAGCTGAAGCATTGAGTGAGGAGGAGTTGAGGAGGAGGATGAGAAAAAGTAGGCGTGAGCACATCAAGCAGTGTACTGGAAGAATGTTTTTGTATGCACAGATCATATTGCTCCACGGACCTATCCAGATAATATACACAAGCAGCAGCAAATCAGCAAAGATCTTCAACGCATACTCATCAAGAAAATCTTCAGTCACTTCCCAACCTCTGACCAGAACCCCAGTTGTAACCAGACGATCTGCCCTGTTCTTGTTGTTCTCTTACTCTCCTTGGAGGAATGACATGGACACCACTTCCACTTCCTCCTACGCTTCCACCAGAACTAGGTCCATCCGAATTCCCAACAATGTTCTTCAGCCATTGAGGAGCACGTCCCAAACTCTCCAATGCTCGATTGTCCCAAACACCCCACCACCATAAATGACCTACGACGGCCCCTGTGACACTTTGCGCTGCAGCATGTGGACCACCCATGATAAGGTCGAGAGCTATAAGAGCAAAGGGGAAGTATACGAGTGGAAGAGATATGAGACCAAACAAGGATGTTTGCGTCCCAGGGGGTGCGAGACGAGATGAAAGATATGTAAGGGCGATCAAAAGGGGTCGAGCGTGAAGATATGATCCTAGAGGAATGTTCATAGCCTGGATGTTTCAAATGATTAGACAATAGGGGGAGCGAGGGAAGATATGTCATATGAAACATACCAGGATCCCTCCTGCGGCAAGAATGAGTTGCCATGCATAATCTGCAGACCGTCGAGCGTAATGTAGTGACTCTAGTTGGTCTGAATTTCGACTATGGGCAAAAGGTGGAATGGTCTATGCATGGTCGAGCATACGAAATGATAAGAAAATGCACATACTATAGCATGATGAAATCAAAGAGATAATTGATTCCAGTACCTATGAATCACCATGTCAAATACCGTTAGAAGTTCATTATGAAGACTATAACTTACTTCCATAGAAGAAACTTGTGAATACTCTCCACACCTATCCAAATCCAAATGCGTGTTACTCCAAGGAAACCTCCTGACGCTTACAACCTCCGCGAAAATCAAGAGAGAAGACTCACCTCAAACTTCTTCGTCACATACTCCTTCGCAAAGACGACTTTATACGGAGATACAATCTGTAGCATGACAGGTATTGATATGGCCAACGATGAACCGCATAGGAACCTTGTCACTGGTGGGATTTTGCGAATTTCGTCGATGAAAGACATGGTCTTTGATTATTTTGCCGAAAGTGAGAGTTGAACGTTGAAGCTTGAAGGATGAGAGTGGGGATAAATTGGCCAAAGAAATTGAGACTGGAGAGTTAGAATACAACAGACGAAGGATTCAAGAAGAGAGGTCTGCTGGATAACACATGGAAGGTTCTAGGCATTCACCCGACACGTCAGTGTAAGTATGGGCCACTATTTGGTCTTGTTGTCCAAAGGCTTCTAACAAATTGCCAAATTTAGAACGGTAACATCTGCAGACTCACCGCCTCTGCGAACAACTAGATACTATATGTAGGTCGTAAGTGGCTAATATCACTGTCAGAGATGCTTCGTAAATTACAAGTAAAACATTTTCTGAACATTGCACGATATCGCATTTGATGAGTTTTCTAAACAACTACATCCATCCCCGAATCAATACCACAGTGCATTCATCCTCATACGTGTACAATCACCCGAGAATACATGTACTACACATTCAAGTCCTGCGAATCTAGTTGATCTTGTAAGTAGATCCTGGTTTGACTACGTAAGTCTCGGTACGACCGGTGTCGTCCCTCAACACCCAAGCAACTTGCCAGTCATCACGAGCCCAGTCGGAGCTGCTACCACGACTGATGTCAAAGAAGTGTTGATTGCCACTTCCAGTAGACGAGACGCGGACGTGAATTGTAGCGGAAGTGTTGTTGACGAAGGTAACGGTACCCATTGTCTAACGCACGGATAGAAAGATAAGAATTCATTAGCACTTCAGATGAGCGTTATCATACGAGAGCATACTACTGTTGTGGAGTAAAAACTCGGAGTTGTGAGATACGAGATGCAAATAGTTCTGGCTGAAGATATCACGAACAATATTACTTGTTGTTAGAAATATATACGAGTAAGTTGAGTCGATTGAGCTCTACTCACCTTTGAAGTCTGCAGAAGAGTAGTTGACTTCGAGGAGAGATGCAATGTTCACTCTTATATGTTTTTCTGCGGGTGGAGGGTCTCGAATTCAAAATACCCTACCCTTCCCAAAATGACCGTACAGAAAATAAAACAGAAAACAATACCATCCTTTCGACTCGTATTCTTGAAGATGAAGAAGCTTGTTTATCTGATCAAAGTATCCTGAATCGGGACTTAGCAGATACATACGATTCGGAGATGACATTACACCGAACTCTGGGCTGATGACTTGGGTATCTAGCCGTTTGACAGAGACGTGGAATCCTTTGAAATGGATGATACCGAACAAAGGATGAGGTATAGATGGTTCATGGGAAAGCCAATCCGTCCTGATTCCTGAGAGACATCTCCGCCGAAATCAAAGAAGAAACATGAGATGAATCATCAAGGTCTTGACTCACAAGCTGAAGTCTAGGATTTCTGGAATCCCCATAGCCTCCGGATAATAATTCAAAATAATCGGTTAACACGAGATCAAAGCTGTGAAAACCAAATCACCTCAGCCTCTACCTTGAAGCTTACCCCGGCGAAGTCTTACGCCATTGAAAACGATGTTGAGAACCGGGCTTGAGGTGCTGAATTACGAGGAAGGATGATGATAGGATCAAACGCCATCGGCCCATCGCGTCGTGGGTGGCTGTTTGTCCTTGTTGACCAAAGGCTTCTAACACAATACTTAAAGTAGAAACGTGATCGGCATCCTCCGCGACTCTTGATCGTAGGATCCAGGGCCTAAAACGGAAGCTGAGAAAGTATCAAGTCGAAAGAGCTAATTCATCAACAAATAGATGACCAAAAAATAGGTGTCTATTGTAAAGGAGATGAGCCATCTCCATCCGCTGATCTCACCGTGTTTCAGTTCAGTTCTTTGTAGTATAACTACAAATTGATCAGTATAAGTTCCACGTTTGACGTCGGAAATCTCGGTACAACAGCTTTCGTCCCCCACTCCACTAAGTTACTTGCTTCAATGGTGCGTTGGGATAAGTAATAATTCGACAGATGAAGAAGAAAATATAGGAAGTATTTTATAAGAACTTGAACGAACCCAGAACACGTAGACCTGCACGGGTTGGTGTGGCTTCCAACCATCCTGGTTTGAGGGTGAATTCTCATGGACCACGTAAAAGATCCATCCCTTACAATGCTTCTAAGAGGCGGCCATCCAATTATGAATCCTACTCATTGATAGCACATTACATTCATGATGTCTAGTCACAATCCCGTGGAAAGGTTTTGTCGGAACTGAATGAGTATATTACGTTGAGAAAAATGCATACCTGCCATATTATTACCTTAATTCATTATCGCCTACTACTAATTAGTTGCAAAGGATTCTGTCGTCTGGAGAAATCAATATATGAGAATATCAGCAACGATGATTTGTACTAAGTAGTCGCAACGGTGAAAGAGACTGAGCTTACATCTTCCGGGATAGCTGACATGGTACACGATAAGAGTTCGACAATATCTGAAATCGCATTTCTTGAAATGCATGAACAACTTATACATTTCTACACAACACCCTAGCGACGCATACATGCAACAATGTTCGAACTATTTCTGATACGATTTAGGAGATTTGATAGGTATTTCCAGGTTTGACAACGTAGGTTTCAGTACGACCATTATCATCCCTCAAGACCCAAGCAACTTGCCAGTCATCTCGTCCCCAGCTGTCGCTGCGGCCAGGAGCAATGTCGGAGAAGTGAACATCCCCGCTCCCGGTGGTCGAGACACGGATATGGATGATGGCAGAGGTGTTGTTGACGAAGGTAACAGAACCCATGGTCCGACAGGGGAAAAATTTAAGGTCAACGGTCGTATAGAGGTTTGAGGGCACAACAACATCGTACCTCTGTTTCTGTAGTAGTTAGAGTTGGGGGATAAACGATCAAAGGTATTCAAGCTCAATCTGTCGAGGAAGAGAGGTCTGTTTAGAACGACGAGAAAGGAGAGAGAGGTAATAACTGTTCTGTTCACCTAGCAAAGGATGCAAAGAATTGCTGACGGAAGAAAGAGATTTGGTCCAGCTTTTTATATCGTTTGGTAGCCTCGGTTAGAATACTTGTCCAATTTTCTCGGATGCCACGTCCTTGCCACATTACGTCCCACCGCTGACCCAGGAAGATGATTCGCGTGATAGCATGGTTAATCAACCCTGATCACTACCGTGTTACATTCGTGATGTCCAGCGTATGTATGTGGAGGATTCCAATCGTAGTTGAATCCGCAGACGGCCTCATGACTGAGGGAACTCGGAATTGAATGCCTGCGAAGATAGAATCCCAGCCACAATATGACAACAGTCTGGTGCAAACGTGACCAATGTTCGGTGCGTTCTGCGAATTCAAATTTGGCTGACCGCATTCTGGTTAGAAGATAGATACAATTTGTAGGCGACCAGTGACCTGAGTATTACGATGAACAGCTGGATTTATGGTCCTCACAGTGAGATTGGCATTGGCTTAGATAGTGATATATTGATCATAGCAGTACCACTAAACTCGCAGTAGTACGGGAGGCTACCTGTATTATTTCTGCGACAGTACGAAGCATTAGTTATAGCTAAATAAGGGGGATTTCATTCGAATATTACATACCCTAGACTGAATTCATTACTCGGATATT